CGCCGGCAGGTGGAAATTTTGAAATGAAGTTGAGCCGCTGTTTTCATAAAACTTTTCGCTTCTTGTTTCCAGTCCAACGGTATCCAATCCCTTCCAATCAACTTAATCGTCCCAAATTTTTTAAAAATTTCATGATATTTTTCTTTTGTCACAATTGTGTTGATTTTTTAAAATTTTTTCTCTATCATCCCAAATACTCTGTCGGCAGGAAGAAATGAGTGCCCGGTTATAGGAAAGACTGTTTCAATTTTCCGTATGTTTGCTGGAGCATAGCTATCCAGAAACTTGCAGCACATAGTTAAAATATTTATATTCATATTTTGTCCCGCGCACCCGTCAGACACCAAACGAATGGAGTCATATCCTAAGAGATCAGCTGATCTCAACTCATTGAATACAATAGAAGCAACCTCGTTGGATGATTTTTTTGCTTCGTCTTCTGTCCAGGAATAAATTGAGACAGTACTGGGATTCAGGGATTCATTTGACAATCCTTTAACTAGTGCAAGGTTATAACAATAAAACTGTCGAGAATAATACGCACTTTGATCAGTCACTTTTGGCAATACAAGGTTCTTCTGACAATCAAAACTCAAAATAAAACATCCTTGTGGTTTTTCTCGCAGGTGTTGGAAGAAGGCTTGGGCCTGTTTCTTGTGTAACTCCATTTTTATTTTTAGAGACCTTGTTTCTTCCTCCCTTTTTTCTACTTGGATATGGTTTTGTAATTCTATGCAAGTACTACATTCATTCATGCTAGGACAAGAGAATCCAATGTTGAAATCTGAGCAAAATATTTTCCTGAAAAATCCCTGGGTAACTTTCTCAGATTCTTCTTTACCATAATTGAACATTTTCCACATTTTGGCGATATTCAGGTCTGATGGTAAGTAGACACGTGATGAGTGATGTCGTGAATAATGCGATTCAATAGCTTTAAAACTACAAATAAACTTTTTTACCTCTTGTCTTTTCGGAGCAAACTTAACTTCCTTGTGGTTTCCGCCTCGGGTTTCCACTGGGACATGAGATACACCTTTCTTGAAATTTCGAAACACTCCTATAATTCTATGCTTAGTAATAGGCTGCAACACTTTGAGAAAAGCATCCCTGCAAACTTTGAGATTGTTGCCAGCGTGGTTTGCAACCGAATATTGGAAGATTGTGGTTTTTCCCTTTATAGGATCAAGCTTCTTTCTTTTGGGCTTGGGTGGGCTAGTCCGACAGTATTTCAAAATGAACGCATCTTGCTTGCTTTTTTCTGGGATGGAGTAAAAGGCTTTGTGGAACTCTATGACATCACGCATTGTTAAAAGCTGGCACTGGTATCCAACTCGGTGATGACAGGTGGGGTACAGAGGAAGACCTTTGGCTGAGTACCTGCATGAACATACAAAAAGAGAAAATAATTGAAACTCTAGTTAATTTAGTGAATAGACTAAATAAAAAAGGTAGAACTATGTATAAAAGTACGATAAATTCGCTCTTTTTTAAAAGCTTCCTTAAATTTAATCAGTTACCTGCAGCTGTAAAAAAATGTACTAGCCTCAATAATTTCAAAATGTTGCTTAAACAACATATCAAAAATTTATAGTGTACTTTTTTTATATTGTATGTATATTAGGTTTTTCTATTTAAATAAAGATCTATCTATCTATCTAGAATTTTCATTAGGAATCTCTCAATTTTTTGAAAAACTTTAACAAGTGGTACTAAGCCATGTTTTTACAGCCAACTTTCAAGCTTCATATTTTAAAATCAGACATTATCATATTACTTAAAAATTATTCATAACTCGGATAAATATATACAGTAACTTCTACCATATCAAACTTCCATCCAAGTGTTGACACTTTTTTACAGCAATTAAAAGTTTAAGTGCATGATTGAGTTCAATGATTAGAATTACCTTTGCCGTTTCTGGATGTTTCGTTTCCATTTTTCGGGATCGCTCTTCCTCTTACGAGTCGTCCCTTGACTCACAGATATATTTAACTCCATGAATATCCAATTATAACTAATAATTTGCACAAAAAACAGTTTTAAACTAGTAATAAACACAAATAAAACGATTCACATCAGACACGTTGAAAGGAGTGGCGGCCATTGTTGATCTCGCAGTCATGTGATCACAATACAGCATTCTTATTGGCTGTTAGGGAGATGTCCATTTTTGATATAAACCTTCATAACAGGAGTCCGTTTTTAAAACAAACATTCAACTTTAAAGTCGAAAATAACATATTTGCGTCCGTGTTTGAAGGAAACTATTATCACCGTTGGAAAGAACAGGAAAAATTCTATAAGAAACAACTTCTAACTAAATTTTTATTTTTTTGCAAATGTCCGTCTTTGATATGAAGCCACTCATATATGACTTGAGACGAATTTGTATACCTGCGAGCGCTCCCTAACACTGAAAATCATACTACCGCAGAGATAAACCGCAGAATTTGCACGGCCATCAGATGCTATTATGTACTTAATCTCCTTAAATATACAATTATCTCGAGAAATACAAAAATAAAGCTCCACAAAACAGTAATACGCACAGTCCTAACATATGGTTCAGAGACCTGAACTTTAACAAAAATTAATGAAAACATGTTAAGATATTTCGAAAGTAAAATACTAAGGCGAATCTATAAAGCACTGAATCCAATGGAGTGTGGAGAAAACGATACAACTTTCAACTTTATAGAACCACTGATTAAAACAATTCAACAGAATTTAAAGAGGAGGGGTGAATAAATCTCTCAACTCCAGCCTGTTTTGCTAAACGTTCTAGCCGTCTTGCACTATCTATATGCACATCATCAAACTTAAAATTTCTCGTTTCCCAGTCTCTTCCTACTAGGTCAACAACAACATTTGAGTACTTGATACATTTAGCAATAGACTCTTCATCTCTTAAGTGGTATGGATAAAAGTAATCCTGACCCAAGACTCCTACAAGTTTCAATCTGAAAATTACAATGCGTTGGGACCCACTTTTCCAACTTCGTGTTACTCTAACACAGAAATTCTCAATGAATTGGCCAATTGGGTATATGCACTAGGAAAAAATAGAAAGGGAGCTTTTAACGGACGATGTTAAAAATGATATTCCAACTTTGGAAGATCTAGGAGTTCATTTAACAACTGTAGAAAAGCAAATGCCGTAGCAGTTCAAACCTTGAACATGAGGTATTTATAGACGACAAGATCCTGACGAACCTTTCGCTCCAGCTTCTCCACCAAAGACTCTTGCTTAAATGTGTAAAAATCTTTTAAAATTGTTTTGTATGTATGAGTTAATAAATCAAAAGAAAAATCACTTTCAATAACTTCAAACAAATTAAATTGATATGAATAGATAAAACGGATTTAAAATGTTAAACACAACATAATTAGTTTAACGGTTTGACACTTAAAATCTAATTGTTTTGAAAGCACTCAAAGCTATCTATATATAGTCTAGAAAATAGAAATATGAAGAAATACCATTAGTAACCCATTCCTTTAAATTTGCAAGTGTATTTGCCTTTGCAGAGGCTCACTCATACCAACAGCATTTATAAACCTGAACTCGTTAGTGGAAATTTAACTCTCACATAGCTTTTAAATTCTCTTATCGATTATCTTTTCGTACAGTTTTAGGATATGATTCTTGAGATATTTTTCACCTTTCTTAGCTCCTGGTTTTTTCGGAGGTTCAACAAACTTAGACTTTTAAGATTGGTATTTCTGTTATTATTATCTATAGTAATAAAGATAAATATAATAATGAAATAGACAACACTAAAGAAAACCCATCTGAGAACCCACACCAAAACGAAATAACAATAGAACAAATAAGAGAGCTATGATAAGTTAACTGCGGAAATGCTAAAAAATATGGGAAAAAAATGGAAATGAAATGCTTAGAAAAGTTTGCAATAAAGCATGGAATGAGAACAAGATCCCAAAAGACTGAGAAGTGGGCGTTATTCTACCCATTTTAAAAAAAGGTGACAGACGAGAATGCAGCAACTACACAGGTATAATTCTCCTGAGTATCCCTTTTAAAGTTTACGAACGAGTACTCAAGAAAAGACTACAATAAGAAGTAGACCATAAGCTGGAGCAGTCACAGAGCGGTTTCAGGAAAGGAAGAAGTATCCATGACCATATTTTTACACTCAACCATCTAATACAAAATGCAAGAAATACAAGCACGGATCTATACCAAGCCTTCATAGACCTCAAAAAAGCATTTGATAGAACCTTGCGAACCGAAATAGAGAAAAGCCTAAGAAACAGAGAAGTAGACAGCAAACTCAGAAAACTAGGCCCTATCCTGTTCAATATTGTACTAGATGATGTAATGAAGGAAACTAGAGAAGAAACATCGAGAATATTTGTTGGACATAGAACGCTGGAAATGATACAGATAGCAAAGTGCGCATTTGCAGATGACCTCGTTGTATTTGGAAGAAACGAGGACGCACTTAAGAGAAACCTCCCAATATGGAGAGGTAAACTTGAAAAACGTAACCTGAGAATTAATGAAAGTAAAACCAAGGTCATGGTATGTGGGAAGACAGACCAACATACAAACATTAAAATTAATAACTATACTTTAGAACAAGTCGAAACCTTCAAATACCTGGGAGTGCAACTAGAGAGTAGGGGTACACAAGAAGCAGAGATAAACAATCGAATAGCAAACGCTTCCCGGATATACCACGCAATTAAGAGCACATTCCTATCGAAAAAAGAAGTATCCCAAAACGAAAAGATAGCTATCTACAAAACAGTTTTTGTACCTATCTTAACATTTGGATGTGAAAGCTGGACGCTCACCACCAGACTAAAAAAATAAACTGCAAAGTATTTCAATGAAGTATATAAGAAGAGTACTAGGGGTGACCAGAATAGACAGGATACGAAACGATGAAATAAGAGAACGTCTTAAAGTCCAATCAATAGAGAAGAAAATTGAAGAAGCCCAACTGAGATGGTACGGTCACATGGTAAGGATGGATAAAAAAAGCCAAGTGAAACAAGTGTGGGAAGCGAGAAGAACCTTGAGAAGACCGAGAGGCAGACCCATGAAGACCTGGGACGATGAAATTGCCGCCATTATAGACAGGAGAGGAGTCACCAAGGAGCAAGCGAAGAAATTGGCAAGCAACAAGAAGAATTGTGTTAAGTTTGTATATGAAACCTAAAAAGAGACTGTACACCCAACACCTTAGGGTAGATGGGTTATTGATTATATATATATATATAATATATATATATATATATATATATATATATATATATATATATATATTATATATATATATATTATATTCTAATATTCTTTATTATTGTATGAAATATAGAAAATATTTTATTCTAGGATATTACCAACATTTTTAATTGTTCTTAATATCGTTTTACACTGGGATTATGTAACAAACTTAACTTACGTTTTATTAATGATTTCTATACCTTATGTCTTAACATATTTTTATATAAGTATACGTGTCTCTGTTTATTACCTATTTTTAATTTCCTACTTTTCTCTAGTTTTTTTGGGTTCGGCCAAACAAAGAAAAAAGCTTCGACCAGTACGGCGCCCAATCAGCAGCTCATTCAACAACAACCGTCGCAAGGAACAGTAGTGATGTGCGGTGCGCTTTCAAAACGTCGAGGTAGCGACAGAAGTCTCTCTGGATCCGCTCACGAACTTGCCATCTCAGGGGTTAAAGACACCAAAGTACCACATTCCCATTCGCAAAGTAATCTCAGTGATATACCTTACAGGTGAGTACTTATAAATATTTTAATTATGTATTAGTATTCCTGTAATAAAACATTACCTAGTTGCTTCGAAATATTGTTGAAGTTTCAATATATTTGTAATATTGAGTAACGAAGATTACAATTACTAAAGTATTTTAACAATCCAACCAATTAAGTTAAGTCAACGAAAAAAAATTTATTCAATAGACAAAACCAGAAAGGCGAGTGGCGTAATAATGCACAAATTTTCTTCTCTTAGATACTTATATCATTATCTTTATTATTAGCAGATATATTCATGGAGGATTTCGAACAAAAACTGTACACGAACAAGACAAAGAACCCATTGTCTGGTAGAGATAATTACGTGTTCTCTATTCTGAATTGATATTCGTCCTAAAAATGCATTTACTAATGGTTTTAACCAAAAATTATTACTCATTGACATTTATAAACAAGGAATTTCACAAAATTGAAGAAAGGGAACAACTAAACCTCTCAAGCAGTCCAAAAACGTTCACAAGAAGAGATTTAAAGATAAAAACATGTAAGGGCTTATGTGTGTAAAGGGCTTATCGAAAAGTTAAAAAGATAGGAAATAAGTACAATAACACAGCATATAAAACAACTAAGACACTGAGATCTATTCTGTCCAAAACCCAACGTAACACATAAATAAATATACAAACTACATCTATAACCTTTAACCCCTTTCTACACCCTTTAAATGCAACAATTTCTATGTGGGGAAAACCGCAAGATCAATTAGTGTCAGGAGAAATGGGCATAAATTATACTACAAAAATATAGAATTTGATAAATCCCAGATATGCAAACATGGGTCTACAATAAACAAAGAGTACAGTGGAAGACGCATCAATAATGATCAAGAAAAATACAAGAAAAAATATTTAAGAAGCAGCTCTCGTTCTACTTAATAAAAAAAATGGCAAACACATCACCAGAATACAGCAGGCTCTGGTTGCCGATGCTAAAATAAATAAAAAGTCGGGGATACATCATGTACGTAAGTAGATATGTTAACTTACAATAGATTGTAATAGAAGCCAATAAATGTTAGTTTTTCATTGTTACTTTAAATTTACATAAAAATTAATAACTAATATTTTTAAAAAATTGTGTTTTAATTAGGTAATGTTTTTAATTACAGGTGAGAAAGCTGCATGCGCTTGCGCATGGCTTCTCATAATTTCAAGTGTATCCACATTTATTACTGTGGCACACATAAATTATCAATTTTTAACAATATTTTTTAATACAGTACATTTGGTGAAACATCAGAAATAGTCAATTATTTATTATATTATATAAAGTAAATGCACCTAAGAAAACTAAAGAGGAATTAATTTTTTTTTAAACATAATTCAAGTTTATTTTCAATTTATTCTTGTAAAATATTAAATCTTTCAATATAAAAATAAAGTCTGCGGATATTTCTGTACATATAAATACATGGTTTAATCACTCAATAGAGTCCATCCTAATGTTTGGCAATATTTATTAGATTTTGTAAAAAGGCTAAAACAGGTCGATTTTTACTCCTTAAAGGACTTATAGCTTTTAACGATATACCTATCTGTTATTTGCCCCCTTCCGGTACCACAAACTTTTATTTTAAATAGGAAATATACCATGTCTAGTCTATCATTAGATGTTTTTTCTACAATAATTAATATTTTTGTAAAACAATATATTTATTGAAAGTAGTACACCTACTAAAAAATAAATATGTAACGCCTATGTTTCGCTTGTAAATTTAAAATATTTCCCGTTACGTCAAAAACTACATTAAAGCAAAATTTGCAATAATAATAAGAATATGTATTCAATATAATGTAAATAAAATGAATAAAATGTTCAAAATGATCACCAATGCCCATACAATTATAAAATTGCTGTTTTCAATAACTTCATACAAAAATGTCCATGGGAGTTAAATCAAGGGATTTTGCTGGTCATTTCATAAACCTCTCGTCTAATCCATTGCTTAGAACGCTTAACATTTGTGCTGTAATGCGGAGGTACGCCTGGTTGTTGGAAAAACAAATCATTTAAGTACCTATTACTATTTACGATTATATCTACCAAAAAGGGATTAACTGTGTCTACTATTCTATTAATTCTAAATGTAGTTCTGCATTTACACTTTGTTTCAAAATTAATAGCCCAACAATTGACGTAGCAGAAAAATGTGCCACTACCACTAGCAAAACATAGGCTCAACGTTTGATTTTTAAGATGTGTAATACTTTATTACAGTATATACAGATGCCTGAGTTCTCCAGCGAATTTGTCTAACGATGTGCCACAATGATGGTAGGTATGTTCCTTATTTAAAATTAAAGTTTTGCTTTACTGGAAGGAAAAGGGGTTGACAAATAAGAGATATTATTAAATCATGTCCTATTTGGAATAAAAATGCACCAATTTTAGCATTTTCAAAAAAACCAATAAATGTAGCCAAATATCAAGGTGGAATCTTTTGAGTGGCAAACCCTATATATTTCTGGTACTTATACATTTAACCTTAATAACCGAAGATATCGCGGCATAGTAAAACTCTCGGTCAAAACTAGAGTTATCATAAATTGATTTAATTTATACAGTAATTAGTTGGAACACTGAATACATGTTGATTTTTATTTGAGATAAGATATTATACAGTACGAAATAGTATACTTAAGATTAAAGTAGCCTTATTTTTGTCAATATCAAAAACAGTTTATTTTTATATTTTTAAATTAGAAAAATATGAAAATTAAAATCCACGTTTAAATTTGTATCCAACTAAATCAATTTATAGTAAAATTGTTACTATTTCCTGATAAAAGCTATTTCTACAATAGCAATCGTATCCTGAAAATGATAATAATAATTTTTTCCATGGAAAACACCCCTGTTTCAGATCGTACTAAACCCAGTGGGTTTGTTGCACACCTTCCATTTATGCATAATACCCACTTCAGGATCCTGGAACCTTTTACGGGCTTGTACAGGTCTAGTGGATAGATACTATATATTTTTGAACTAACTTGGTAGTATTCAAAAAGTGTTTCTCGCTTACAACATAATACCACGAAGTGATACATATTTTGTATCACTTCGTTTACTGTTTTAGATTTCTGCTACAGTGTCTGTAGCTTAAAGCTACGGTTTGTTAGAACAGTGCTCAGCGCACGGCATACACGTACGGCAGAATCTGTTGTACTCGACTCACGGCAGTTTTGGGTGAGTCGGTTTGTTAGAGTCGTATGGCATACATAGATTCTGTTGCGCTAATGTTTAAAAATTAGTTCCAAGTTTGTTCTATTAAAGGTTTTACATTTAGAAAAATGACTTCTCGCAAACTTAACGCAATATGTTATTTCTCGAAGAAGAGAAGGAAGAACAAGAGTTCTTACAGTTACACAACAAACCAAGTTCACATAAAACAGTCCCATTGTATACAGGTGTTTCTTAAATGACATACGCCCAGTAAGAAAGCCCGTTATGACTTTAAGCTGATTTCTTCTTGTTTTCTACAGTACTTAAGCCCTATTTACATACTTACATTTATTATACAGTTTGCCGTATATTTGACCGAGTATATTTTCTCGGTGAGGGTTATGTTGATCTTGGGTCCAGGCTTTTTCAGGTCGTGGATGGTGCTTTTTCGCACTCCCACGACCGGCTTTGACCGAAATATTTTGTAGCTGATGTTCTTCTGGCAAGCCCATCAGCTTCTTTATTGCCGTGTGTTCCCGGTAACCTGAAACCCATTCCAGTGTAATACTGATATATTCGGCCAGTCTATCAAGTTTCTTTCAGCAAACCGATACCAGTTTAGAGTATGTCTAAGACCTTTTAAGAGACCCGATGGCTGTAAGGCTACCTGCACTTATATCGAAACGTTTCAGTTTGAAGTTCCTTATATTATTTTCCCTTCCACATAGCAAGGTTACAGAAATGTCTGCCTGAATTACATAGGTATATTCTTCCACAGGAATAGAAAGTTTAAATTTTAACCAATAATAAATATTCCTGTACCCGACCCTTCTTCAATTTTAAACCCTTTTATATACCAGGTATACTCCTGCAGTGTGGTTCTACTGTTTCATCTGCCCAATTCGTAGGCAAACGTCTGCTTGGAAAGGTACTTAACACTCATATATGGGTATCGTACGATCAGAAATTGACATCCATTCATTATACTTAATTTATAACGTTACACTGTCCTAATGTAACCTGAAGAGGGGAAGGTCGAATGGGGATTCCATACCTTTTATTAACGCAACCCTCAGAGCCGATCTGATTTAGTGGCAAGCAAGTCTGTGGCAACAATGATAAGCAAATTGTAGCTAAATATATTGTGATTTATGTCGTGCTAGCAAAAACTGTTTATTTATTTATAAAAAAAGTGCTTTAATAAGGTAATAGGGATACACTATCAAGTTACGGAAAGTCCAAAACAGAAAAGGCAGATCAAGTAAATAGAACAAATAAAGCCGCTGGATGCATAATTGCAACAAGATCTGTAGTTCTAAAAGTTAAAATCAATTTTCATGTAAAGGTAATGCTTCTCATGAAAACCTTAAGTAGATTGGCTTATAGAGCTATAATTTTGGTACTAGACTTACCTCTCTTTTTGCTTTAATTACATGAAAAGTGGATGAAAGTGAATTTCAGTAAACGTTTTAAAATTATACAGTAGCTTGAATGTTTTAATCTTCCTAATATTTTTATTTAAAAATAAAGTTTACTGATAAAATTAGTTTTATCAAAAAATCACGCGCTCAACTGTAAAATTATCTTATAATAATATCAATTATTTAAACGGTTTTCTCTGAAAAAGATCTATATTATAAACTATTTAATAATTTAGGGAATATATTTCTGATGATTCACAAACTGATGCATAAATTAATGATTGGCTATGTTTAGAGTAGTTAGATAGTGGAAATTCATGCTTAAATTACAGGGGTGATCTGGCGTGCATTACGAAGTTACCCGTTGTGGCAGCTGCCACTTCGGCAAATCAGGTCCAATCTAACGTCAGTCCGTAAGTGAATAAGGCTCCAAATGATCGTTTGCCAAAACATTTTCATATTTTGAATCTACAGATTGTTCATTTTGAAGTAATTGTTTAAAAATAATAAAAAATCTAAAAATTTTAAGTGTTAATTAAAAACAATCTCTGTTTTTTAAATTATTCACTATTTATTATTAAGGAACTCTTGTTTAATTTTGAAATTATGTTAATAGTAAGACAATAATTGCAAGTTTATTTGATTATGACTTGTTGTGTATTTATAGTTGCCAATGAATGCAGAAATATTTAACATCTATTTGGTTATTCAATTCCAGTCTGAGTGTTGTTTTCTTGTTGTTTTATTTTAACTTAGGCGTGAGCAACATTTATTATGTATTTAACAGTATCTAATGTATTTCTCTAGTTTTAGTACAATTTGGAGACGCACTGGCAAGTTTTCCTACCTAAAGGTGTGGAGTATTTATAAGGCTATTCGCTTGGTAATACGTCTTCTTCACTTTCTTTATACTACTTCTTATAATGGGAGGAGGTTCTTTTTATGTTAACTGCCTTTTGTAGGCAGTTTGCCTACAAGCATTTTGAAAAAGCTATTAAGGAATTAAAGCTATTAAATATTTAAGGAAGCCTTAATGGAGACAACCGAAGGTATTATTGTGAATGGAGTAACCGTCAACAATTTTAGATAGTCCTTGCCAATTGCGGAGAAGACCTTCAAAATCTAATGAACAAAATAAAACAGACTTGTGATCAGTATGGATTAAAACTCAACGTTAAGAAAACTAAATATATATGATAGTTAGCAAACAAAATTATATACAGGATGATGGTATAAAAGTCGGAGATGCCACACTGGACAGAGTAAAGAAACTCGTGTATCTCGGCAGTAATATCAATGAGAGCTGGGATCCAACCGCAGAAATTAAAAGCCAAATATAACAAGCCCGAGCTCCTTTGTAAAAATGAGAAACGTACTTTGCAGTCACGATCATAGCATTGACCTTAGAGTTCGTATGACATCTTGCTACATCTTTCCTGTCCTGCTGTATGGAGTGGAAGCGTGGACTCTAACTGAGGCTATGCTTAAACGCTTGACAGCCTTTGAGATGTGGGTATACAGACGACTACTGAAAATAAGCTGGGTCGACAGAGTTAGAAATGAGGAGGTCCTTAGACGGCTGAGCCAAACAACACAACTGGTCAATATAATAAAGAAACGCAAGCTGGAATACTTCGGTCACATTATGAGACACCCTGAAAAATATGATCTTTTACATCTGATCATTCAGGGAAAGATCCAAGGTAATCGTGGTCCTGGTAGACGAAGAACATCATTGCTGAAAATTCTAAGGCAATGGTATGGAAAATCAACTACATCGTTATTTAGAGCTGCTGTCAAAGTTTTTTTATTTTTCCACATTTGACTTACCAGTCAGTTATTATGAGTGATCATATATTTATTTCTCCATATTATATATTGTATAATATATTGTACCCCATATTATACTCTGTAAATACCCTAATATCCTTACGGTCTTGCGGCTTTTTATCTGACCGTCCACTTCATTAGGTATGCTTCTGCTGCCCCCTATGTCTCCACCGCTAAATACTTAATATTCATCACGCTCATTTATTACCAACTTGTATCATATTGGATCTTTGAATATTACCAGAAGTGCTTTTGCTAGACCTAATTATATTCTTATTTTAGTTTTATTGGGAATTGTAAGTACTTTACTTTACTTTATCGTGTCCGGACGTGTCATTCATAAAATTTCGTCCGTATCCGGGCTACGTCGGTTCCATCTTTGTTGGCGAGCCAAAAATCTTTGAGGGTACATCGATGAGAACAGTTTCTGCCTGTAAGAAGATGTTCTATATTCTGTGTTTCTCCACAATCACAGTTCACATTATCTTGGTCGATTTTCCCCCATTTTGCCATGTGTGATTTTACTGGGGCGACCCTCGTTCTTATCTTGATTATAGTTTTCCACGTTTTAAAATCCAGGGACTGGCCGATCCATTGAACCTGGGTGAGTCGCTTTCGTGGTGTTCGAGCTTTGTATAGAACATGCCGCTTGTCCGCGATCTGTTTAATTTTCTCTATGTGCTCTGCAATGCCTCTACGTGTTAAGGGGTTCTGCAAAACCCGCTGCTTTATATGGATTTGAGAGTGGCGTTGGTCTCATGCACCCCGTTACTATCCTGCTTGTCTTAGCGCAGTATCAACTTGTGTGGTGTGGGTAGATCTGCTCCAAACGGGACACGCATATTCAGTAGTTAAGAAACACAGTGCCTGTACCGTTGTTTCTAAAACGTCACGTCGTGCAACCCATTTACTTGTCGTTAGCTTTCTGAGTATCCTCTTCTTAGTTGGTACTTTCCCTCTCGTTTTTATGCAATATTGTCTGTAGATGAGGGACCGATCCAAAGTTACTACAAGATATATAGGTTGGTATATGTGTTCTACTGTATTACTATTCCACGCAATTTGGAGTTTTTGCTGGGCTTCCTTTGCGTGAAGGTAAAAAGTACAGACTTGGGTTTTAGAGGGAAGAATTCTGCAGGCAGTACATTGTCATTATTTTTATGGAAATTTCGAGTTTCTCCTCCACTTCTTCAAATCTATTTCCTTGAGCACATATTGCAAGATCGTTAGCATAGAGGAAGTGCTTAGTTTAACTCTTCACCTACTTACCTTATCCTCCAGGATAACGAAAGTCTATTTTGCAGTAAGGAATATACGACCTTACTCAGATGATGTAAACCGAGAGTATCGTATAATTTGCGGAGCAATGTTTTGTGTCTTACTGTGTCATAGGCTGCTGTCAAATCTAAGAAAGCAGTTTATAAGTTTTTCTTCAAAGCCCTCTTCTGAATTCTCCTTGTTGTGAGATCAGGTGCATGTCGACATTTTTTTCTATTCGAGTGGCGAGTATGAGTCTCTCGTATAGTTTAAAAATGTTACTCAACAGCAAAATAGGTCTGTAGCTACTGGGATTTTCTGGGTCCTTTCCTGGTTGTACGGGCTTAAAGGCTATTACTTTAGATTTCCTTCACGATTTTGAAATTTCGCAGGCTTTGCAGCACGTGTTATAAAGTTACAAGATAAAGTTTTTTGCTCATTGGCCTAGATGCTTTATTTGTTTACTGCTTATATTATCCACACCTGCAGCTTCCCGTTTTTTTACCTGTTTATACCATCGTGGAGTTTTTTTAGTGTAAAATGAGTTTCTAGATTCCTCTACAAATCCAATCTTCTTCTAATGTTTAGGTCCTTATATCGGTTCGTAGTTCTTCCATTCATAAGGAGTTAAGCAGCGACTTGGTTTGCTATAACCTTAAAAGGTGGTTTATGTTCTTTTGGATCCTGTGCATTTCTATATTAGTTGTTGGAGTTGTAACTTCTTCTTTTTATGCGTCGTCTTCGCGAAGGATGTTGACAATTATCATAGCTACTCTGAATATTTTGATTTATGTGCATCCGTACCATTTCCTTAACTTATGCAGCTATGAGATTTTTCTCCTATACTTCTTATACTTCCTTTGGTTTGCATCTTTCCTTGTATAATCGATTGAAGTACGTCGTACCTCACACCATACATGGCATGTCCTAGATATTACAGTTCTAGGTTAATTGTCAGTCTTTTATCATTAGTTTGGGTTTTCGATGTCCTCATAAATTTAGTTTTTTTATGTTTACTGATTTTTTATGTTTACAGTCAATATTCTTCTCCGTACTCAACTATCTTAATAATTAGCCTTAAGAGGTCATGGAGGCTGCTTGCTATTATGACAGTATGGTTAACAGTACCCAATGTTGTTAATTTATGTTCCTTTGACCTTTATTTATTGAAGAAACTACACACAGCAAATATACGCAGAAGAAACTCTGAAAGTGAGTATAAAAGTGAACTCTCCCCCAAAATATTGAAGTCAGAAGTTGTAAGGACCATCAAACGGGTCCGGTCAAATACCACAGGACTGGCTTTAATCAACCTTTATACCAATCCCAAAAAAGCCAAACGCTAATAGTTGTGACCAATTCCGAATGATCAGCTTATTGAGCCAGGTCCTAAAACTCTTCTTAAAGATAATTCACACAAGAAGATACAACAGATGTGAAAGAGACATTAGCCCCACACAGTTCGGATTCAGACAAGGATTTGGCACAAGAGAAGCACTTTATAGCTTAACTGTCCTACTTCAGAAATGCAGAGATCAGCATAAAGATGCCTTCCTATGCTTTATAAATTACAAGAAAGCATTCGATTGTGTTAATCATTCAGAATTAATAAGATTGCTCCAGGAACGTTCAATAGATGAAAATGACCTTATGATCATAAAGAACCTTTATATGAATCAAGTGGCATCTGTGAGAGTAGGCCTGAAATCTACATCATATTTCTCAATCGAAACAGGTGTACGACAGGGTTGTGTTCTGTCACCCCTTCTTTTTAATCTTTACTCTGAAACAATTTTCGATAGAGCCTTAAGTGACACTGAAGATGGAATCAAAATCAACGGACAGACTATTGGTAATCTTCGCTATGCTGATGATAACAGTCATAATAGCTGATAGCCAAGAAGCGCTACAATGACTAATAGATAGAATAAACACTGAAGGAGAACGAGTGGGCTTGAAGATTAATATAGACAAGACGAAGGTCCCAAGAACATCCAAAAGATCCCCAAGTTCAGATATCTCGGTAGTTGGATAACTGAAGATCTAGATCCAGACATAGAGATACGTAACAGGATTGAGCAAGCCAGAACAGCATTTACTAATATGAAAACCTTGTTAAGCAACAACCTCAACTTAATGCTTCGATATCGCTTTGTGAAATGTTACATTTACTCCATACTGCTATATGGTGTAGAAACCTACACCATAAAAACCAATGTGATGAACCGATTAGAGGCCTTTGAAATGTTGGTATTCAGAAGACTACTTAAAATTCCCTGGACAGGTCACACGACAAATGTCGAAGTATCAAATAGAATGGGCAAAAAACGAGAATTGCTGCCAATAATAAAAAGAAGAAAAATTGCTTATCTGGGTCATATATTTTGAAATTCCAAGTACCAGTTCTTAAAGCTTATTATGGAAGGGAAGATAGAAGAAAAACGAGGCATCGGAAAAAAAAAAATACTCATGGCTTAAAAACATAAGGGATTGGACAAATCTCGATGCCTTGCACTTTTTAGAGCCACACAAGATCGAGAGGAGTATTCCAGAATTGTCGCCAATATCCACTAATTGGATAGGGCACCATAAGAATAGACCTTTATTCTAGATTTTTCTTTCTTGAAAGGTCTTTTTATAATTTCTTTCGTATATCTATGCGTCGAATAGTAGTAGCAACAATACACATCCCTGTTGTATCCCTCGTTTAATTTCGAACAAAGCATTCGTGTAATTTATGAAACGTAAGTACATTTTTGATTAATATTCAACTATCTCTGGAGTGGTACATTGAATGCAAAAAGATTTTCTCGGGTACATACGCCTCTTACATAATTCAAATTTGGTTTATTTAATATTCATATTAAGTTTATGGTAAACGCATTTGGGAACGATCTTTAAGAACATTTTTAATATGTGGGATACTAAAATTGTGGTGCGGTAGTCACTACGCCTTTTTGGAAAACAAATTAATGTTGAGCTCAACCATTTCTTGTTTGTTTGCTTCCAGAGTTTTAATCTTGTTTAGGCTTAACGCCTTTTCAAGGAACTTCGTGTTTGTGTCACACGAATAACACATTTTACTGTATATTAGGACATCAATGTCCTTATGTTCTGTTATCTTAAAAATGTCAATAGGTAGTTGATCGATCCCAGGATAGAACACCCTGGGAACATTCACTTCACACAGCTCGTTAATATATTCTTTTCATCGTTTTATTTTTTTGTTAGTCGTTATTATGGTGTTCCGTTT